CCTTCTCAAAGCTCTCCACACTAGATCTTTCAACAGGAAAGTCAGTGGATCCATTCACAACAGAAAATTTCTGGCTGTTAGGAACTGAAACTTTCTTGATTAAATCACTTTCACACCCTTCAGTTGCAGTAAACTGTTTGCAAAGACTCCATGAGGATTCCTTTCCCGAGGGCTTTTCTATGCAACAATTCACCCCCTCCCAGAAATTCTGCTCTTACCCTCTTTACCTAGGGCTTGCTCTAGGGGAACACTTTCCTGAGCAACAACAGACTCTTTCTGGGTCTCCCTTACATCCAGAATCACCTCTGGCCCATCAGGCGGATTCCTACACAATCCCCTTTCAGGCAAACTTACAGACTTTCTAGATAAAAGGTCAGAAGCATTCTCCTTCCCTTTGCCACACACAAGTTCAGGAATCTTTTCCTCCTTGCTACAGGTTTCCACACCCTCAGTAGGTAACACAATCACACACCTTCATGCTCTCCTTGTGCCCTGGCTAGGATCTCACCCTGATTAGACAGAGTTGCTCCACCCTTTCCAACAACACACTAGCAACAGGCAAAATACAAGCACCAGAATTGTCTGGTCTCTGGGATTTTACATAGACCCTAACTGGATGCGACCTAGTTACAGGGCCATTCTCCCGAGCAGACAGAAACTTAGGACCCTTCCCTTCCTGGGCTTTAGCTGAATCCAGAACCAGCTCTGAGACAACTGCACGACCCTCAACCATCACAGGCTGAAAGGCCCGTTCTGTTTGCTCCACAGACCAAGAAGAGCCGGACACACTTTCTCCTTTACCAGACACACAGGTTGGGATCTCTTTCCCCTTGTCCCAGCGCACAAGGCTGGTCACAGACAACTGCTTGGAGATCAGGGTAGCTCCCTCCATAGGCAAGTCAATACCCCTGACAGACAGAGACCCATTTCCTTCACTGTCCCAATTCTCCACCCAGCTAACAGGTAAGGTCCAGGGACACTCATCTTCCACTCTCCTCGCCTTCCCACCCTGCTGACTAGACACAGCCATCAGCTCACAAGGCTGCCTAGGCTCATCCAAACTTTCCTTACCAAGCACCTTGCCACTCCCCACAGATCCCCTGCCCTGCCTGTGTCTCCCCCCACTCAGCTGGGGTCTCAGCTCCCACTGTGCTCAGCACTGCCCTTGCTGTCCCAGTGGGGCAGGCCACTGCTTTCCTCACTGCATCAGAGCCAGCGAGAGTCCCCAGTCTGGTGTGCAAGGGGGCAGGGAGCATCTCTCTGTCCCACCGAGTCCCAGGGGTCTGGTTACAGGCAGGCAGGTAGCCTGAGCCTAGCGGCTCCTCCCTGCTGCCAGCCAGGTCATCTGCATTTTCACTGACCATTTCCCTCTCCACCGATTGGTTCCCTGGATTCAAATTCAAACCCTCGGCAGTTACAGGAGCAGGGCCTGGATCCTGTCCCAAAGAGACACAGTCACCCCACAACAGGGTCTCACAGCTGGTATCCTGGAGCACCCCAACGGCCAGCCAGCCCCACCCCTCTTGTGTCTGCACAGGGATCTGGGCCATAGGCAGGGCGAGGGGCTTCGTCCCTGGGACCCTCACCCAGTTCACACAGGCCCTCAGCCTCTGAGGCTGCACCACCCAGGGTCTGACACCAGTTCTCTCTGTCCCAGGATCTCGCCACCCCAGGAATGTCTCCCCATTGACCATCCCCTTCCGCTCCCACTGGGGGTCCGAGGGGCCTGACCCCAGGGAACTCCACACAGACATATAGGTTGGGGTCAGGAGTGGGAGCCTGTCCACCTCCCCACCCATCTGGCTGATGGAGTCTGTGGCCTTGGGACCCAGCAAGGGAGCTAGACACCGGGGTTTTCCGCAGGGTCTCCCTGGTTCAGATCTCCAGCCTGCTCAAAGGCAGTGAGGTGGGCATCCACACACCCCCCCTTAACTAGGGGCAGCAATTTAGTCTCGAGGTTCCCTGCGGAACTGGCCCCCCGGGGATCTATCCCCACTCACCCCGGGGAGGTCCCCTCGGCCTCTCCGCCCCACCACCGCCAGTTCATCCTGCTGCTGCTTCTGCAGCTCTTTCTCGGGCTCTCGCTGTCTCCCACGGTCCTCTTGCTCTCTCAGACTCCGCTCCAATCCCGTCCGTCTCGATCCCCCGATGGGGAACCCGATCGTGAAGACCCTCGTCTGGTCGGAGACAGGAGTCTTGGCGATGTCTGGCTCCCGCTCCAGCTGCTCCCAGATCCTGCTATAGCCCCAGTTGGGGTCAGGAATCTGTTCCTTAGAGCGGTCATCCTCCTCCAGCTGCACGATTAACTCTGCTTTGGTGAACTTTCCAACGCTCAACCCTCTCTTTCTGCACAGGGTTACAATGTCCTTCTTAAGGAGACGGGGACAGGCCATCACTCCGCTCCTCCCAAGTTGTTGTGGACTCACAGGCCCGTGTGTTCTCAGCTCCCCACGGTTTCCAGGGAGAACCCCTAGTGTGCCAGCCCTTCTCGAGGTCACCACCTCTTTGCCAGGGTCGAGCTGCAGGCTCCTCCGCCCCTTGGACTGCTCGCTGCAATCCCCAGGGGAACCCTGCTACTGCACAGTCCTTCTCGCTGGTCACACACTCCCAGGGGTTAACCGCCCCCTGAAACCGCTCCTCTCTGAGCCTTCTGCAGGCCTGGTCCTCGGCAATCCCCCTTCGTGTTACTGCTCCCCAGTCACTTACTGCAGGAAGCGCCATCCACGGGGTGCAGTACATCCCACCACTGCCACCAGTTGTCACGGAGTCCCTGGGCGATGCTCTGGAACTGCTCCCCATGAAGCCAGTCAGGACTCTGGGGTAGTCGCCTTTCTGTGAGCAGACTGTCTTCAGGACACACAGCTCACACAGCTTCCACCTTCCTGGGTCTGACCTCGGAGCATTCAGCCTCCTCTGCCTCTCCGTGCGCTTCCCACAGCGAGTCCGCTCAGGCGGGGCTCCTGGGGAAGCCAGAGGGTCCTGCACCCCAACTTCGCAGTCAGACGTGACTCTCAGCCAGCCAGTAAAACAGAAGGTTTATTAGACGACAGGAACATGGTCTAAAACAGAGCTTGGAGGTGCAGAGAACGGGACCCCTCAGCTGGGTCCATTTTGGGGGGCAGTGAGCCAGACAACCACGTCTGCACTTCACTCCATGTCCCAGCCAGCCCCAAACTGAAAACCCCTCCAGCCCCTCCTCCTCTGGGCTTTGTTCCTTTCCCGGGCCAGGTGGTCACCTGATTCCTTTGTTCTCCAACCCTTCAGCTTTCACCTTGCAGGGGGGAAGGGCCCAGGCCATCAGTTGCCAGGAAACAGGGTGTCGGCCATTCTCTGTGTCCAGACTCCTGCACACACCTGCCCTCTAGGGCTTTGCAATGATCATACACCCTTACCCCACCCCCTAGATACTTAAGAACTGCCTAGGGGAAACTGAGGCACCCCCACACTATTCAGAGGAAACATTAAGAACAGTCCCACTTCGTCACAGGGTGACGTTGGAGGAAGCAGGCCTGAGTGGAAAGGGGTCTGGCCTCAAGTGGCTGGCAGTAGGGGCATCTTACTCACATCTCTTAGGGCTGATGCGGTGTCTATCACTGTGGTGTCTGGGCACTGGGGTGGGGGCTGCCAACTACCCCCACCCCTCGCAACTAGGCAAAGGCGCAAGAGGAGCAGAGGAACGTTTTGTTAAATGTTATTGGGTGTCACTTGTAACGTCCCAGCCAGTGCAAGTCGCCTGCTCCCTGGGGCCCAGCCCGGCCTGGCCTCCCCTGCTCCGTCGGGGGGCTCTGGGCAGTGCAGCCGGGGCAGGGGTTTGCGGGCTGGGGGGGGGGGGAAGGGGCTGGAGCTCCCTGGAGGGTGGGTGGGCTCACGCCGGCTGCGGGGGAAGGGTAGGACGGAGGGGGTGAGAAACGCCTGCATCCCCCACCGGAGTTGGAGGATGTGGCCTCAGTTTCCCCAAGCAGTCACTGGTGCTAGAACCTGGGCTGTGGCTTACAGGGGGGAGAACCAGCCACTGGCGAACACCCAGGTGCAGTGCGTAGTGCCCCTTTAAACAGCTTGTGAGTCTCTAGTGGCGCTCACTGTGTGCCTGGCTTCAGGTCTCATCCTCACTGCCTGCTGCTGGGTCTTGGCTCTTTACAGGACAAACCCGAAGCAGGCGTAGGGGCACCGGGGAGGACGGTAACTGAGGGCACTAACCATACACACCAGGCTGGGCCTGGCTACACACACACGGCTGTTCTGCCTGGTGTCCGGGTGCTGCAGGGATGTGGGACACAGTGAGCGCCGCCCGGGGGCCCACAGACTGTTTAAAGGGATCCCTCCCGATTTCTAGGTGCTACATGCGTGCGTAAGGCAGCCTCCCTGCCCCCAGTTTGCTGCCAGTCCTGGCACGTTTGGAGGAGCAGGGGGGATGGGTATGGCCAGAAGACAGTTCCCCAGAGCTAGCGCTATGCCCATTTACACCTGCTGAGGATTTGGCCTGTAATCTTTTCCTCATGTAGCAGTGAGTTCCACAGGTTAATTGTGTTGCATAAACAAGTGATTCCCTCTGACCCTGCTGTTCAGTGGTGTTGCCTTTTTCTTATTCTTGGGATTGATCTATCCTCCTGGGGGTCAGACTTCACGCTTACCTGAACACGGGGGGGGGGGAGGGGCATGGGGCAGATGCTCAGCTGGTGCAAATCAGCGTCTTCCACTCAGCCCAGCAGAGCTGCACCAGTTTGCACCTGCTGTTGAGCTGTGTTTATTCTGCAGGAATGGGAGCCAATCCATTGTGCTACTAGAGGGGAAACTGAGGCACGGGGTGGTGAAGTGACTTGCCCAGGGCTGCTGACTGAGGCAGTGGCAAAGGCTAGGTCAAGCGCTGGGACTCCAATGTCTGTGGTGCTCAGCCCGTTGCTGGTTGCAGGGGCCGGGGCTGGGGCCGGGGCCGGGGGGGGCTCAGCAGGTTGGAGCCCAGCTGCGGGTGACTGACCGCTCTCCTTTCTGCCCCCCCACAGCCCGAGGACCTGGAAGCCCCCTCCTCCCACACGTTCAAGGTGAAGAGCTTCAAGAAGGTGAAGCCATGTGGGATCTGCGGGCAGGCGATCACGCGGGAGGGCAGCACCTGCCGAGGTGAGTTCACAGGCTCCGACGCAACCGGGGAGTGGACTGAGCCAAGCTGGTGCTGTGTGGTGCCCACCGGGTGGCCTGCCATGAGATGAGCGGGGGAGGTCTCAGCCCAGTTCCCAAGGGAGGAGAGCCGGGTTCACAGCCAGGCTGGTGGTGTGATCTGAGGGGCTAAGGAGGGAGCAAGCTCCGTCCGGGGCAGGGCACCAGACTCCCACGGGGCCATGGGGCACTGCCACGTGCCTGGGAGCATCGGTGACACTTTTGGCCTTCACACCATCCCCTGTCAATGAGTTCCACAGGCAATGAAATGTTCTGTCTTATTTTCTGTCCCTTTCCTAGTTCTTCCTAGCACACTGCTAGCCTTTTTGACTGCTGCTGCCCATTGAGCTGAAGTTTTCGGAGGACTCCCCACAGTGACTCCAAGATCTCTTTCTTGGGTGGTCACGGCTAATTCAGACCCTGTCCTTGGACGTGTAGAGTTGGGATTATGTTTTCCGACGTGTGTTATTTTGCACTTATCAATGTTGAATTTCATCTGTCATTTTCTTGCCCAGTCACCCGGTTTGGTGAGATCCCTTTGCAACTCTTCACAGTCTGCTTTGGACTTCGCGATCTTGAATAATTTTGTATCGTCTGCAAACTGCCACTACGCTGTTCACCCCTTTCCCCAGATCATTTATGAATACGTTGAACAGCACTAGTCCCAGTACAGACCCCTGGGGGACCCCACTGTTTACCTCTCTCCACTGTAAAAACTGACCACTTATTCCTACCCTTTGTTTCTTGTCTTGTAACCAGTTACTGATCCACGAGAGGACCTTCCCCCTTATCGCACGCATGCTTACTTTGCTTAAGAGACCTTGTCAAGGCTTTCTGAACTTCCGGTACACTAGATCCTCTGGATCATCCTTGGCCACATGTTTATTGTCCCCCTCAAAGAATTCTAATAGATCGGTGGGGCGTGATTTCCCTTGACACAGACGGTGTTGACTCTTCCCCAATAGATTGTGTTCAGCTACGTTTCGGATAATTCTGCCCTTTACCATGGTTGCAACGGCTTTGTCTGGCATTGAGGTGAGGCTCACCGGCCTGTGACTGCCAGATTCGCCTCTGGAGCCTTTTGTAAAAATAGCCATCACGTTAGCTGCCCGCCTGTCCCCGATGCAGGGGCTGATTTCAGTGGGGTGCCGTTGCAGTTCTCCGGGCTGGCCACAGGATGGCACCCCAAGACTCTGCATCAGGAAGAGCTGTGGGTGCGGCTTGCTGGCCATCGCTGGATAAAGGGGGCTGCACCTCTCTGGGGCAGGAAGGGACCATATGTGGTGTGCTGGGCTAGGACCCCCCCTCAGGGATCTTCCCAGCTGCTCAGCCCCTAAGAACCACCTTGGCCATGTGTCACGGAGTCCCTGGGCGATGCTCTGGAACTGCTCCCCATGAAGTCAGTCAGGATTCTGGGGCAGTCGCCTTTCTGTGAGCAGCCTGTCTTCAGGACACACAGCTCACTCAGCTTCCACCTTCCTGGGTCTGACCTCGGAGCATTCAGCATCCTCTGCCCCTCCTGCCTTCCCACAGCGAGTCCCTCAGGCGGGGCTCCTGGGGAAGCCAGAGGTCCTCACCCCAACTTCGCAGTCAGACGTACTCTCAGCCAGCCAGTAAAACAGAAGGTTTATTAGACGACAGGAACATGGTCTAAAACAGAGCTTGCAGGTGCAGAGAATGGGACCCCTCAGCTGGGTCCATTCTGGGGGCAGTGAGCCAGACAACCACGTCTGCACTTCACTCCATGTCCCAGCCAGCCCCAAACTGAAAACCCCCTCCAGCCCCTCCTCCTCTGGGCTTTGTTCCTTTCCCGGCCAGGTGGTCACCTGATCCTTTGTTCTCCAACCCTTCAGCTCTCACCTTGCAGGGGGAAGGGCCCAGGCCATCAGTTGCCAGGAAACAGGGTGTCGGCCATTCTCTGTGTCCAGACTCCTGCACACCTGCCCTCTAGGGCTCTGCAATGATCATACACCCTTACCCCACCCCCTAGAGACTTAAGAACTCCTAGGGGAAACTGAGGCCCCCCACACTATTCAGAGGAAACATTAAGAACAGTCCCACTTCTCACATCTCTCCCCTTCGAGATCGAACTAGCGGGGTCACTTTAGCGGTGACCTGGGGTCAAGCCACCAACGTTCCCATGGATGCCCCAGCATCTCTCCCATTCCTTGGTAGGAGTTACACCAGGCCCTTCCAGTTTCACACCCTCCCTTAGGTCAGGGGTGGTCGATAGCACTCGCAGGCTCATGTGGGAAGGTTTATGCAGCCCATGCCCTTTGCCACCCCAGAATGTCTCCCCATTGACCATCACCTTCTGCTCCCACTGAGGTCCGAGGGGCCTGGCCCCAGGAAACTCCACACCGACATATAGGTTGGGGTCAGGAGTGGGAGCCTGTCCACATCCCCAACCATCTGGCTACGGAGTCTATGGCCTTGGGACCCAGCAAGGGAGCTAGACACCGGGGCTTTTCCCAGGGTCCCCCTGGTTCAAATCTCCAGCCTCTCAAAGGCGTGAGGTGGGCATCCACACCCCCCTCCTTAACCAGGGGCAGCAATTTAGTCTCGAGGTTCCCTTTGGAACTGGCCCCCCGGGATCTATCCCCACTCACCCCGGGGGTCCCCTAGGCCTCTCCGCCCCACCACCCCCAGTTCATGCTGCTCTCTTCTGCAGCTCTTTCTCGGGCTCTCGCTGTCTCTCACAGTCCTCTTGCTCTCTCAGACTCAGCTCCAATCCCGTCCGTCTCGATCCCCCGATGGGGAACCCGATCGTGAAGACCCCCGTCTGGTCGGGGACAGGAGTCTTGGCGTGCCTGGCTCCCGCTCCAGCTGCTCCCAGATCCTGCTATAGCCCCAGTTGGGGTCAGGAATCTGTTCCTTGACGTCATCCTCCTCCAGCTGCACGATTAACTCTGCTTTGGTGAACTTTCCAACGCTCAACCCTCTCTTTTTGCACAGGGTTACAATGTCCTTCTTAAGGAGACGGTGACAGGCCATCACTCCGCTCCTCCCAAGTTGTTGTGGACTCACAGGCCCGTGTGTTCTCAGCTCCCCACGGTTTCCAGGGAGAACCCCTAGTGTGCCAGCCCTTCTCGAGGTCACCACCTCTTTGCCAGGGTCGAGCTGCAGACTCCTCCGCCCCTGAGACTGCTCACTGCAGTCCCCAGGGGACCCCATTACTGCACAGTCCCTCTCACTGGTCACACACTCCCAGGGGTTAACCGCCCCCGAAACCGCTCCTTTCTGAGCCTTCAGCAGGCCTGGTCTCGGCAATCCCCCTTCGTGTTACTGCTCCCCAGTCACTTACTGCAGGAAGCCCATCCACGGGGTGCAGTACATCCCACCCTGCCACCAGTTGTCACGGAGTCCCTGGGCGATGCTCTGGAACTGCTCCCCATGAAGTCAGTCAGGACTCTGGGGTAGTGCATTTCTGTGAGCAGCCTGTCTTCAGGACACACAGCTCACTCAGCTTCCACCTTCCTGGGTCTGACCTCGGAGCATTCAGCATCCTCTGCCCCTCCGTGCGCTTCCCACAGCGAGTCCGCTCAGGCGGGCTCCTGGGGAAGCCAGAGGGTCCTGCACCCCAACTCGCAGTCAGACGTGACTCTCAGCCAGCCAGTAAAACAGAAGGTTTATTAGACGACAGGAACATGGTCTAAAACAGAGCTTGCAGGTGCAGAGAATGGGACCCCTCAGCTGGGTCCATTCTGGGGGCAGTGAGCCAGACAACCACGTCTGCACTTCACTCCATGTCCCAGCCAGCCCCAAACTGAAAACCCCCTCCAGCCCCTCCTCCTCTGGGCTTTGTTCCTTTCCCGGGCCAGGAGGTCACCTGATTCCTTTGTTCTCCAACCCTTCAGCTCTCACCTTGCAGGGGGGAAGGGCCCAGGCCATCAGTTGCCAGGAAACAGGGTGTCGGCCATTCTCTGTGTCCAGACTCCTGCACACACCTGCCCTCTAGGGCTCTGCAATGATCATACACCCTTACCCCACCCCCTAGAGACTTAAGAACTGCCTAGGGGAAACTGAGGCACCCCCACACTATTCAGAGGAAACATTAAGAACAGTCCCACTTCGTCACACCATGCCCAGCCTTCACTGGGTGCTGGGGAGTCGGACCCTGGGGCGGGGGGGGGTCCCCTTGTCCATCAGTGACTGCGCAGCCAGGAGGGATCCAAGGCCCCTGCCCTGAGCCCGGGAGGGTCTGGGATGGTGGGGGGTCCTTTGCCCCAGGCCGTGTGCTCTCTCTGGGGTGAGGCTCCGTCTCCCTGCGGAAGGGGCTGAGAGAGCAGGAGGCAGTGCTCAGAGGAGGTGGGGTGGGGATGAACCAGCTGGGCCCACATTGGGCAGGGCAGTTGAGCCCCCTAGCTCGGCCCTGGCTCCTCCCTCCAGCACCGCGGAGGGGATCGGAGAGAATGGGGTTTCCCTTCTGTGGGTTCCCAGCACGGCGCGGCCTTGAGTTATCGATAGGGAACCTGGATCTAGAGGGGCCAAAAGCCATTTCACAGAGGGCTTGTGGGCCAAGGTCCTGACCGGACGTCAGGGCGAGCCCAGATCCCCGGAGGACGGGCCCAGTCCGAAGGGGCTGGCAGGGGGATCCGGGCAGCTTGCACTGGAGACCCTAGTGCTGAGAGGCTGGCAGGTGTTGTTTGACTGAACGCAGAGGCAGTTAGATCTTGGAGAGAGGTGGGCCGAGCCGCAGCTCTTGTTTGAAGCGGAGCAAGGGGGTCTGTTCTCTCCGCCTGGGGCTCCCTTCTCCTGGGCCGTTCCTTGGGGGCTGAGCTGCTGTCTACGTGGGCCGGGAGCGTGGGAACAGAATGTTTCTCCCTCATGGTTTTTCCAGGTGTGCGGAAGGGGGAGGTTCCTGGCCGGGGGTCCCGGTCGAGCCTCCGCCCGAGAGGAGAGTGGGCAGGGGTCCCCGGAGCCGGGGGGGCCGCCTGGCGCTGATCCAGCGTCCAGCCGGGCCT